CAATATCTGAAAACAAAAGATGCAGTGCAGTGATACAACCTGTTCCCTGCTGCTATAAGCTGTTCTGGCTACTGTCCTAAAAATTGCAATAAAGATGTACAAAGCAAAAGTTTCAGCAGGCTTTTTCAGTCGGGAAAAAAAAAAGCAAGTGATCCTTGCTAAAACCAAAATTTTTGCAGCTTTACATTTTAGAAACACTCAGACCTCTGTTCTCCATCCCAGCTTAATGGCCATAGGGAATCTAAAAGAGCTTTCTTCAACCCATCCCAAAAATAAATGAATAAATAAATAAGTAAATAAATAAAATAATAATCTAATAAGCAACAGATGTTTAAACTTGTTTCAGCTGCAATTAAAACAAAGTCTTTGTGCTACAGAGTCTGTTTTAAAGCTCTGCATAGTCCCTCCATTTCTCAGTGCTGTTCTTGTGGTAGGGCTAGACAAGTACTTTTCTCCTTAGGCCCCCTCCCTCAGCTCTCCACTGTTTTGTATAAAAGAACTTTAATGAATGTGCCTGGTTAGCCCTTCTTTAGCCCACCAAAGCATCGGACTTAACAGACTGGTTTATGCTTTTACTAAGTTTCTTTGCAATTTCCTCACTAAGTCACTTCTCACTGGGGCTAACAAAACAAATCAAATGTGGAACTCCTAGGTCAAGTCAGAGCATGACTTTTCCTCTCAGTAGTCAAAATTTAAAAATGATGCATCCAGTCATTCTAAAAAGAGATTTAAAATATTTCTGTATCAAAAAGCAAGTGTGCTGTAGTAAGTATAGTTCAAAACAACTAAGGGTTTAAACAATGAGAAAATAATACACTATTGTACAACTACTAAAATAGGGCAGGGGACAAGAAATAGACAAAGTGTTCAACAAAACATTTTTAGGTGCTTTAATATTTTTTACTTAAGTAGATGGTAGCAAAGGTCACTTTATGACAGCAGTTGTCTTTGGGGTTTAGTAAACAGAACTATATTATTGTTGCAGTGTATTCTGATTTAGGCCTCTTTTCCAGGGAGCTGAATTTTTTTATTTTCCTTTACATGCATGAAGTACCATATTCCACAAACAGCCCTATTAAAGTCAGTGGTCCTGATTTTCATCTATAGTAAGACATCCTCTGTATTGCTTTGTGGTTGTATAGAGGCATTAAGAAGGCCTGAACTCCAGCTGGGTAATGTAACACTAGCTCATTCCCTATAATATGTTGTCAAACCAAAGTAAGTTAAGAAAAACAAACTCCCAAAATGGAGTTACAGTCCAGTGTTTGTAGAGATTTTTCTCAGCATTAGTAGAGACTAGTTATTTTCATGGCATGTAGTTTGATGAGCATTAATTAAGAATGAAGGGTATTTTCTAGTCATGGAAGTACTGAGGAAGGTAGATGTTTGAATATTAACTCGGTGGTAGGCAATATCATTTGTAAATCACACTTTTCTAGTGTGTCAGTCCACATAACTCATACAATGAGTGAGCTGAAAGGCTGGATGTCTTTCAGAAAGATGCATGGGCAGGCTTTTTGTTGTGGGGGCGACGTTCAGGCAAAATTAACAAATCCAGTGACAGAATGTCTGCTTAACTCATAAATCTCTAGAGAATTTTCTGTTTTAGCCTGGAGCGATGTTTATATGTATGTCAATGAACTTAAAATCAAAGCCCCTTGCCTGGCCTACGGGAAAGGAAATGCATCATGAGAATAGGATACCTTCCAACACTAAGGATTCCTTATAATTTTCTACTGAACACCTCCAGGTTAATACTGTAGCAACAAGACTCTCACAGTGGAATGTGTTGAACAGTCCTTTCTTGATTAATGCTGTACTTCTTCAGGAAGGATATAAAGGTCAAGGTTAGGAGGACTACGGTGATTTACTAGCAGAAATCTGTTAGGTATTTTAAAGGGTGTTATTCAAATGTCTGCTTTATTTCCAAACAAATGACTGAACTTGGATTGGGTGGTTTTGATTCCAAGGCTGCTGGAAAGGAGAAAGCAATAGATTTGTTACTATTACTAAAAAACTGAATAAATACACTTCTCAAAGAGCCTTTCTAGTGTAGAATGCAAGTGTCAGGCCCTTCTGACTTCTGCAGTTGATAATGTCTTAATGACACATACTATCTACCACTGCCTCTACGAAGTGTGCATCTGAGTGCTACCATGCTATCAAAACAATCAGCATCTGGCCAAGTTTCTTTCTAGTGATGTCTAAGGAAAATTGATTTCCATTCATTATAAAACAATTTATCCCTTAGCTGGGGGCAGTTTTCATCAACTCGAAAGTAGTTAAATAATGATGGCAGATAACAGATTATTTCTAATTTATTCACTTTTAGTTTCCTAAAGAAGCAAGTATGAGAACTTACAAAATTATTAGGTTCTTTTTAAGATGTTTGAAAGCTTTTTAAGAAGCCCCTGGACTTAGTGATCTGCCCATACGATAGGATATTATTGAGAAAGTCAACTTCTATATATTCTTAGCGTAATAAATCTAGAATATTTAGTGGTCTAGTTTGTGTAAAAACTTATCTGATCTGCCTCTACCTTGTACTTTTTCAAAACATTTATGTGCTTCTTGTATCTATTTGGCTTAATGTTTCAGGTGAAAACTCAGAAAATTCTAGCATGTTTGTCTTTCCTTTTTAACTCTGAAACAAACATAAGGACATGTATCATATTTATTATTTCAGTTTAAGCAGTACTATTTTTTTCATTCAGTCTTTGAGAAACTTTCGCAAGATTGTCCACTGTAGATACAAGAGCAATGGCCCATATCCTACCCACTGCAACTTTACATGTTGGAGACTCTCCATTTAGAAAAAACTAGTTGGATGTACTCGTATAATGCCTTTAGTCTGGATCCTTGGATAGATCCCTGTGAGTTCACATGTAACAGGACGAAACAGAAGGCAGATTGTATAGGCCAGGTTGAAGCATTCAGAGCTAGATGAGTCACAAAGAGTAATGTTATTCCTTAAGAAAATTTAAGATTAACGTATTTCTAACACTGCTTTCCTGCAGATCTCCCCCACAAAAGGCCAAAGTCATGGCCAAAGAAGAGTCCATAGCTAACTCAGGTGGCACTTCAAAGCTAAGTCACTACTGATGGACAAAGCTCCTACTGGTTTCCCTCATGTTCCCTCAAATATGCCAGATTTACTTAGAGATGGGCCCCATGGTCTTTCTATCGCATATCCAGCAAAATTTCATGAAGTCATCTTAATGGAAATGTGTCAAATTATTCCCCTTCAGGTAGTTCTGCGTGAAAAGATAAACTAGGGGTTATCTCTATTGCTAAATGCAAACTCTTATTAAATGTGCATATTGTTCCTACAGCCAAACTTCACTGACTGTAGAAGAGTCATGAGCAAGATGTGTGGTTTTTTCACCATTGTTATTTCTGGGAGTCAAACATAGAACAGGCAGGGCAACTTTACTGATGCATAGTGACTGTTGGCTTTGAAAATAATTTTGGTTAAATTTTGGTCCATTATCTCAATCTTTTGTGCTTTATCATCTTGAAAAAGTAGCTGGAGAACAGTTTAAAAATGGATAGATGTTTGGCATTTGGGAATAATATTTCCTTCATAAAATTGATTGGATGAGACTATTATGTCTGTTAAAATAAAAAACTAGGATATCTGTAGGTCTTCTGGACTGATATGCCTAGGAGCAACGTCATGTCACCTCTCTTCCTGCTAACTCCTTTATTCATAATCTATCCTCTTAGGCTTAAAAGAAGCACCTTTAAGATCAGACAATTTAAGTATAAATGGTCTCTGATCTCATCATTCTGATATTTTCACAATCACAGAACTAAACTTGAAACGACTAAGTCATTAATGCAATGCTTTTTAACTCTACCACCATGTAGATCACTTAAAATAGAAAAAAAAAGTGTATATCTTTCTTACATGTAGCGGATTTTAAAGAGAATTCTTGAAGTAGCTTTGAGGAAAAATCATTAAATTTTGCCGATAAAACTTAGGATTCAGTAAGTCAAGCAGTAGCAGTGATTTTCACACAGTTCTACATTAATGACCAAGGAATATCTCTGCCAAGAACTTCATGATGAATCTTTTGGAATTAAAATGCAAAATGGAATGAGATAAAGAGAAGGTCAAAGAGGGCTTGTGTGAGACCTTGTCAGGCAAGACTTTTCATTACGCTCTTCTAGTGTAATCTTTTCTTTGGGTGCAAATGGGTTGTAAAAGTTTATGATTTAAGAACAGCAGAACCCCATGATCAAATCTTGCCTATAGTTTTTGAATATAGTTTGAAAGATTAAGAACAGGTGATTCATGGGGAATTGGATATTAGGAAAAATTTCTTTACTTAAAGAGTGGTCAGGCCTTGGAACAGGCTGCCCAGGGAAGTGGTGGAGTCACCAGCCCTGGAGGTATTTAAAAGACGTGTAGATGAGGCACTTAGGGACATGGTTTAGTGGGTATGGTAGTGTTGGGTTGATGGTTGGACTCGATGATCTTAGAGGTCTTTTCCAACCTTAATGATTCTATGATTCTATGATTCTGTGGGCTATGTGTTGAAAGGTAGATTGCTTACTATATATTTCCTGATACATTCTGTAAGAATTTGTGGATAATGTGCAGGACTCTATTGGCTCTATGGGAAAGATGAAACTGCATGTTATTTTTACTGTTAGACTTTGACTTGATCATCACTAATGAAAAGAAGAAAAATTGTGTTGTCTTAGTAGCTTGTAAAACTTCCCAAATATACACTTCTTTTGCAATGTACAACTTGAGAATTGTAAAATAGGAACCTGGCTTGGACCATTAATAAGCACCATCTGTTAAATGGCCATGTAAGATTTTTACATCCAAAAAGAATCCACAAAAAGATTGGTTTAATGTTAGATATCATGGATAGATTTTTTTAACCAAATAATTTTTTTAACCAAATAATGTTCTCCCACTTTTTAAGATCAAATGTTGTGACTGATTAAGATGTGTGCATTTCAATATATAGAGCCAGACAATACAGTTTTTTAGCAGTGTTTATTTTGTAAAAAAAAAAAAAAAAAAAAAGGAACCAATTAATTTGAAAGGAAGTCATCATACCTGTCTTTTGATTGCACACTTTTGAACAAAAATAATACAGAGCGGAGAATGAAAAAAACAATTTTTATGTTGCTACTTCAAAATAACACCTAAGTCTATGAATGTTCAAAATGAAAATATATATATACCAAGAATGCTAAAATGTCTATTTTACATTATCTACAAAACGTATGTTCTAATCCAGCCACAAATCATAGGAAAATATTTTGATACATGAGAAAAGCTATAAACATAAGAACATTTTGGAGGGAAATAACACACATAAAAGCTCATTAAATAATTACAACAACAAATAAATAGTTTGTTCAGCTTTACTTTTTGATTGCTGCCATGCATATTTTAATTTTTGGTATATTGAGATAAAAGAAAGGTCAGCATGCAAGGCATTTTTTTTAGAATGAATCTGAAAGCAGATACTAGGTGTTGTATTTTTAAGCTGTTGTTAGAAGGTCATAAAACATGATATAGAAGGCAATAGATGTGATAATTAACTGTTCTCATGAAAACACACCACAAAGCATCTTTTTACAAAATAGACTTCAGTGAATATTCATGGCAAATTTTCTTTGCCTCCATGGCTGGAGAAAATGTAAAAGTTTATAGTGTGGGTTTGGAAGGCTTGTGTTACTCCCCATCTTGAGCATTTGGAAAATCACCCAAAAGGTCCATATGCTGAGAATGCCCCTTTTGATTTTGGTCAAAGCAATAAGCATGTAGTGTCAACTGAGAACACAGCAATGGCAGACTTGTCTTTAAGCAGTCAGAACGGTAAAGCAAATGGTTACAGGTGAGTTCAATTTTGGCAGGAGGAGAGGGAGATGAGAGAGGAGAGAATGTCTGACTTCTAACTTGTACTATGTTTGCTGGATTTACTGGCTCTTTTCCTCTCTTTGTGATGCTGGATAGGTTTTGCTTGAGAGGTTCCCTCAAAGTTGTGGCTGGACTCATTGTGCTGCCTGGTGTATCGCTTGCACTTGCAGGCTGTGACCACAGTTATTTTGTAGGTTCTTATACTTCCATCCTGGCACTGAAGCTGGATCCTCTGGGTGCGAGTTTTGTCATTGACACATCTCCACTCTTGCGAGCTCCGCCTGCTCCAGTACTTGGTTCCATAACCTCCTCCAATCCAGTTGGGGAGCAGTGGCAAAGGGAGGCATTCACCAGCACACACCAGCTCCTTCAGTGGATTGATGCTGGTGCACTGGCCATCTGAAATGTACTTGGTGGATCTCAGTTCCCGACAGCCAACTTGAACACGATCTGCAGAATGCACAGAATAATAAACACTGAGATTCAGAATGGAGAGATTTCCTTAACCAGTCATTTTCACATTAACAAGCTATGTTTTGCAGAAGTTAAAGTAGGCTGTAATCTTTACAGGACGTCTCTTTACTGTTGTGTCCCCCAACACAAGGGCCTCAAGCGCTGATGGTATCTCTGGGTATTACTACAGCATAAAGAAATCATAATGATATGCACTTCAGCAGTTGTGGTAGAAGAGGCAATTTTTTTCTCTATTCTTCTCAGGGACATACCTTTTAGAAGAGAAAAAATGCCCCAAGGGAAGAAATGTTTCCTGCTTGTTCTCAGTCTAGGGAATCTGCTCTGTGATGTTTACAACAATTATGTTGGATCATTAGCAAGGGGGAAAATAGTGTTTTGGAAACTGTTTATATGCTTTAAAATTAATTTCAAATAGTGTGTTTCTAGGGTTACACTGGAACGAGTCTCCCATGAGTGCTGCTGCTCTGAACACAGATACTGCAGAAGTGGTAACAGCTGAAGTTACCAGGGAATGGTGTTCTGCATGCAAAGTTTGAATTATTAGCAGTAACGATGTCAGAGTGGTCATTCTGCCCTCAGGGTAACACCGTCTTTGTATCTGTAGTAGTCTTTGTATTATATGTAACATAGAGGATCCTGCAAATTCTCTCAGGCAACTGACATAGAATCAACATGCAAAGCTTCTCATACAGGCATGTTTGTACCCGTCTGTATGTGCAGCTCTGCACCCTGCAATAAACACAACTGTTTATTTCAGTAATTACACTTTGAAATAAACGCCCACAGTGCGCTTAATTTTAATAAGCAATCTTTACTGGCTATGCTCTCCCTCTTTCTGAAGGACAATTACGGCGCAAATTCTACACACAATGCAATTAACTAACGCCTTTAAAATAGAAGTAATTACTAGAAACATTTTAGAGTGAATCATAAAAGGCTTTGAAGGTACATCTACATATCACAGCTACAGGCTGCTTCTGTTTCTACTTGGATTTTTGGAAGCAAGTTCTGAACAGAGACACTGAGTTAAGATTACTTCACCCTGTCCCCTGTGTCTCGGGATGGGCAGTCAGAGGGACTGTAAATCTGCAGGCTGATCCGAGGGACTGTTTACAGGGCTGTTCTCCTGCAGCCTGCCTTGCAGAAAAGATTCAAGCTTGCCTTCCTGCAGCTGCACTCAGGAATGTACCTGGAAGCAGCTGGTCACAGATTTGAGTTTGTCTCTCCTGTTTTTATGTCTTTCCTGGCTCAGCTTTTCTCCAGTGACAGCTCATTGACGATGAATACCTACTGGGCTGCTCCAGTAATCTCATAATGATGAGATGTTTCCTGTGCACTTAAACCCTTAGCATTCATAGAAGCTGACACACCTGGCTTAGCTTCGGTGTCACTTTTTGCCTTCACTTTCCAGGGAAGACGCTATTTTTATCAAATCGTTGTGGGTGGGTTGGTGTGTGTATGTGTGTGTCTCTGTTTGGATTTCTTTCATTTTAAGGAGGCGGGCAGGGGAGGGAACAGATAAAGTCAGCAAAAGGTTTCCAGATCCCCATGTATCTGACATATATACATAAAACTCAGCAAAAAGACTAGATGTAAAAAGGCAAGTTAGAGCAGAGATCATAGGTAAATTACGAGCTGATTTGTTTACTTTTGCTGGGGGTGTTAAGCAGGTAAGTGCTACAGCAGGAAGTAAAACTACACAGCGGGAACAAAATTCGGAGTTTTTTATTGCATTTGAAAAGTAGCCCAGACACCTCCCCTGCCCACAGTGGGAAGGTGAGTTAAGAAAGCGAGCGCTTTGCAAACGCTTCTCACTCCTTTTCCTTTATCTTGCTTCTCTGCCGGATAGCCCATAAAACCCGGCGTTCCTGGATGAACCTCCCTAGGAAGTAACCTGCCCGAGAGAGCCGGTCCTGCAGGACTCGCACGGGGGAGGGAGGCAGGCTTGCTCGGGGGCCGCCCGGCGAGCCAGGAACCAGCAGCATCTTCCCTTGCCCCGGCTTCCCCGAGGCGCTGGTTCCCTACAGCGCCGCACTCGGGGGGGCAAAGCGCGCTGC